GTGATTAAATTTATAATTATATTATGTCATTTAGGGTTGAATGGTGATAGTGATGATAAATTCATGAGTTTTATAAGTGAACAAGATTTGGTTGATTTTATTTATCGTTTAAAGATTGTGAATTTAATTGTGTTCTGTTAGTATTTTTTTTTTTTTTTTGCTTGAGGTATTTATTACATGAAGATATGGTGGATTAGAAATATAGCAATTGAGATTATAATTAAGTTGTATTATTGGATTGAGTGGTAGTAAAAGTGATAAATTCGTGAAAATTATAAATGAGCAAGATTTTATTTATTACTTAAAAATTGTAAAATTCAATAGGTTATGTTAGTATTTGTTTTTTTTTTAGAGACATTTGTATATATGGTGTTGTTTTAGGGAATTGTTATATATTTTTATGGCAGTTCCATTAATATGAAGGATATGATCGACGATGTATTTCAAGCCATTTTAAAAGAATAATTGATATGAATATTTTTAAGTCATTCTTTTTAATTTGGGTAATTATTTAAGATTTTTTTGTTAGTTGTATAGTGCCTTCAGGCACAGACAATGACTAGTTCTTCAAAATTAGATCCAAGCCCAATTAACCAGACACAAAAAGAATCTATAAACAACTAAAACAACAATTTTTAGTCTCCTAAATGTCTTCAAATTAAGAAAATATTAGGCAAAAAACACACAGAAAGAAAAAGGGTAGCCTTGAACTTACTTGAACCAACCTTACGAATCTTTGTCATCAACGACTAGAAATGGGAAGTCAAGATCAGAGAATAACCCTCCGACAATATTAAAATCTCGGTGCAAGTCGTGCTTAAACCCTTAAAGTGACAGATTTTCATATACACTGGGAAGTTGAATCATTGAGGACAACACTAGAATGAAAAGCTAGGTCGGATATCTAGATCTGAATTCCTCTTTGTTGCTGATCACATAGGCAGAAGCTCTTGACCTCCAAGAGAAGTACATTGCCTTTAGGGAAACCTATAGAGATATAAACATATATAAAATAAGCGTGAACGGTTGAGATTACAAATCTTGATATATAAATCTAGTTTAGATTTGCAAATTTAATTCATCATCTCAAACCCGGTCACTCATACTAAAGTGATGAGCAAGACAAAACTGATCACTATCCAAATCAAATAGCGAAAAATAAGTTGGGAATTTTTATTTTGTATTAGTTTACTTTTTTTTTTCTTTTTTATTTGGTCTTTCCACCATAGCATAGTGGGCCTCCGAGGAAGGTTTTATAATCACAATAGTTCATGGCCTTCTTTTTCCTTTTCTTTAAGGTTTTTTCAGAAATGGTCCCACATTAAGTTATAAAGTTTTATGAATCGATAGGAAAAAATGTGGATATTTAGTATGAAGTCATATATAGTAAAGTAACGCCCGATCAGGAATGTTCTAAAAGGAGTACAAACTGTGCATTAACACAAGACCACAAAAGGCAACACATTAGCACACTTACAAGGATATAAATAAGTGCAAATACAACTTACAGTGTTTTATTTTAATTTTGTGCCAAGAGTTGACCAGAAGTAACAGAAAAATGCTGCCATATGCCTAAACTCAAACTTCAAAATTTTTCTCAACTAGCTAGAGCAGTTTTCAATTCAATCTTCAAAACATCAAGCACAAGGTTGTCTTCAGCTACTATAAATTCATTACCATCTCCCTAACATGAGGAAATAACTTTTTTGGATAAAAAAAGGACATCATCAACTAAATATCTACCAGAAATTCTTCAAAATTTATATCCAGACCAAATTTGACACTCTTTTGCAGCCACAGCTTTTAAACTTTGATTATCCACATCACAACCCTTCATATCCATCACCATAGCTTGCTCACCCTATTTTTCTTACAAAGTTTTTTCTCCCTATGTGATAGGAACGAAGAAAAAAAGTTAAATCACGGGAAATCACTTTCACATAAGCAGCCCTTGCATGGTCCTACACTATAAAAGGGCGGTTGTCTTCCATTTATGCATTTAATTTTTCAAAAAGTAGGCAAGTCAAGCTGCACAGTGTGTTTCAGGTGCATATTTACTAGATATATCATTTATGTCTTTGCTTGGCATCAAGTTTTGCACCTCTAAGTTCTTTAAAACATTTTGCTCTGCTCAATTTTCCCTACTAAAATCGAAAATTTCTTCTTCAAATTTCTAAAAAAGCATTTATTTTATGGTATGTACAGTACATGGTGTTACTAATTCTATGGTTTCCTCCATTCTTATCACAATTTTATTAATTACAGCTAGTCTGATATATACTATATTCACTTTTTAGTCAAACTCAGACCTTGGGCCTTTCGTTTTAAAGATCCTCTGGATTTGTTCCTCTAGTTTTGACATTCTCTTTATATTTATTTCTCAAATTAAAAACATTATTCTGATGCATAAAATGTTCATGCCTATAAACTATTATATACTTCCTCTTTGTATCAAGATTTTGCTGGACTTTAATAATCTTGTCTAGCTATTGCTCGTCACTGACAACGATTATTTTTCATAGGGTGAACAGTCAGATCAACATAAGAAGGAAAAGCCAAAATGGCTTGAATCCTTTTTGCAAAGGACATTCTTTGGAACTTGTTCGATTCATGAACTTCAAAAGAACGAGTTGAACAGGTATTGCATTACTTGTGATTTATCTGCCTGCAGGTACTGCATTGCATCAGATTTCCATGAAGGACATGAGCTACTCAAGATTTATAGACATGTCTATAAAGATGTTGTTCCGCTCAGTGAAATGGAGAACCATATTGATTGTTCCAAAATTCAGGTACTTTTTAATGCAAAAACTTGAGGGCAACATACCTTTTGCTATGTAGACTATGCTGTATTTACAATGTGGATGCCTTTCCATAGTTTTCTTTTTTACTTTACCTTCTTTCCCAAATTAATGAAGCATGTAGACATCTCAAATTAACGAATAATCTAGACATTTTCATTCTTTAAGTTTATTCTGACTTTTTTGTATATACTTGATGTAACTTTGTTCGAGCACATGATCATATAAAAATTTACAAACTTTAGCACTTAAAAAAAAAAAAGGAGGATAAAACCTTCCACACCGTAGTTGACTGAGTCATAAAATTTATCCATTAATAAATAAAAACTCTAAAAAGAATAATAACGGACAAAATCTGTGCCTAGAAAACACAAAATATCCCAATTAAAAACCCTCATATTTGCATCTAAATTAGGAAGATGTGAATAACATACACACACACACACACACACACACACACATACATACATATATATATGGTTGTGAGATGCATATTGAAGGGAAGAAACAGAGTACTAACCTGAAGGTCATTGAGAAAACCCAATATAAAGGCAACAAAAACAAAAAAGCTGAGAAACCCAAGTCTCAGTATTTGGAAGAGAGTCTGGAAACAAATGAAAACAATCAATCAGAGGGAGTGTTGGATTATTCTGTAGTGCTACCATTTGGGTAAAATAAATAGGTAAAAAGAAACTCAAATGTATACTCACTGTTCTTAGATCAGTGTGGAATCAGCTAATTCCATTTGCAATATCCGCCTAATGAGATCATCCTAACCCAGCTGGAAGCCTGGAACCCAACGTGGGAATAATTCCTGTCAGTCTAGGTATAACGTTAGGCATTATGGAACAATGAACACGCGATCATAGTAAGATTCACTAAGAAGAGAGAGGAAAAAAGGTAAGTTTGGACGTCCATTACACTCAAACCATTACTCAAATTTGAGTAAAAAACTTAATTTGGTATAGCGGAACAAACCCAAATTTATACTTCTTTTCTTTTTAGAAATTTTTTTTCCTCTTCTTTCTTTCATCAACTGGAGACCACTGTCACTTTATACAGTTAATTAGTTCACAATTCCTTGAAACAAATTCTCCTGAAATTACCATGTATGAGGTGTACAGGAAGAGTTACCTGAAATTACCGATGAACTCCAGGAGAATAGAAGCAGAAGCAGAGGCAGAGGAGTGAAGCTTCTGATTTTTACCGTTAGGATTTAAAGGGGATTGAGTTTCCGTTCATTTGGGTTTAAAATTGAGTTTTTCCTGATTTGACTAGGGTTTAGATAGAGGATTAGAGATTGATTTTACGGCTTTTTAAACCCTAATTTTTTGAGTTTGATACGAATTTTTTATTTTTTTTTGGCTGGGAGTTTGATATGAATTTAGGTAGAGGATTGGAGACTGATTTTAGAGTCTCTTGTACTTAAACTTGGGTCTAAAAATGAAAAAATTACTATTGTGGGATGCAAATAGTTATAGGTGAATGTCAATATTTGGAAGGGAATATCACACTTTTTATCCAAAAAATTTAAAATTCTTTATTTTCAGAAATTAAACATTAATTTTCCCATAATACACGTGAATTTGACGAAAATAATATTAAAAATTAGTGTGAAAGTCACGTTACAACTATTTAGAACATTTAATAGGATTAACGACACTATTTTTTAAAAAAAATTATGCAATTTGAAGTGAAATTTAAGTTGATTGTGAATTCACCAACTCAAATTAGAGTATATGGACTAATTTTTATTTTTAGTTTACCGTTAGGAGTGTTCGGACCAATTTATACGCACTTTAACTAAATCTCTCTCCAATTCAGTCAAAAGCAGATCATCTACGCTGAAATTAGGGTATTCGTAAAGGATAAATCTTTCATAACTCGATCTCAAAAATTATCAAATTCATAACTCAATATATATGAGTTCACACATGCCGGGACTCAATTTTTGCACACACATCAAATAATAAACTACAGCTTTTTTGTTTCCTTCTCCCTACTAATAACAAGAATCAAACCTATGGGTTTCAAGTGCAAAGTTCTTTCATTCTCAAATGTACTTAATTTCTTCTTATTTCTCTTCCTGCCTATGTTAATATGCTTCTTATTTGGTTCTGTTGTCAGCCTTATAAGTGCAACAAAAATGGGTTGTCGCATTGAACCCTCTTCCCCACTGTGGTTCTGGTTCTCAAGCTGATGGTGATGCATCCTGTGATATATGCAAAAGGAGACTCAATGATCCCACTCAATATCGCTATTGCTCTGTCGCTTGTAAGGTAAGGGAGGTGAGACGGACTTAACTACTCGTTGTCATTACTTTTTCATTCACTTCACTCGAAAGTAAACCAATTTTTTTGGTTCATTTATGGTTAGACTTGAACCGAAACCAAAAACTTGAGCTCACATATTCAGAATAGTTTCGAGTTGCAATGCACTAAACCAATGTTTTTCAGGTGGAGGCACTTTCGAGTGATGCAGAAGAGGAAGGCAAAGAAGTTGGTGAGCCAGGGAAGCGAAAGCACAGAAGGAAGGGAGTACCTCAGAGGCTGCTTTGTTCTAGAACTCAAATGTGCTTATTCATCATTTTATGTTCTAAAGCTTGGAACTAGAAGCATTGCATTTTCATGCCTCTGATTTCAAAACTAAGCTATAACTATGGCTCTATGTTTTTTTTTTGTGTGTGTGTTGGATATAGCTCCGAGGGACAAAAGTTCAATAATGTGTTAACTTTAGATGGTTGTTTTTCTAGTATTTACATCTATGCACTAGTGATTATATGAAATTAAGTTTTATCGTCAAGGTCCGATACCAAGTATGAAACCCACAATACCTTTACATACATACAGTCACAAATTGGGTGATAGTCTTGTTGTTGGCCTACGTGTGATAAAATGATTGTATACTGCATATTTCTAACCTTGATTTGTTGTTGAATGTTCATGAAAGACAA